GCCTTCCGTGGAGCCCAGGACAGCAAGCTCCTGAGCCCCCTGCTTGCATCTGGTAAGGCAGACAATGAAGGCAGAAACTCCCAACTTTTGCCCTACCTGTATGGCAGTATGAAGGACCCTACCCTCTAAACAGCATTATTATTTTTATTTTATTTTTAGTTTATTTTATCTGACAGCATCTCCTCTTCTTGGAATGAAGAAAGGAGAACACGAAAAAGGCCACAGGTCTTGAGGAAATAAAAGATTAAGTACAAGACATTTTTAAAAAAAAGTATTCTTGCAATAAAAAGGCTGTAGTTTGGGATGGCTGCAGCAAGTGGGTGAGGTAGGCACACTACTACGGCAGAGAGAGAAGGCATTTTACAGCACTTGCTGACGAGTAGCTGCTCAGTCCAGCAATATCAGGCCATGTGCTTAATAGAGCTAAAATCTGCACAGTCTATGCCAAGATTAAATTAAATATTTTCCTGGAATCTACTGTCTCCTGTACCCATGTGAACTGGAAAATTTAAGCAGAAAGATTAGAATGCACAGGATAAATATATGTTAGGAAGTTTATCAATACACATCCATATAATGCATGATATATAAAGTAACAATAATCAAGTGTAACACCTCAGATGAGCCGTCAGGAACAATATCAATGACAAAGTGATTTCCACGGTCATGGCAGTACAGATTTCTTACATGGTCACATGATTTTTTAACAAATTACACTAATTAGAACCTATTTCTGAGTGCTTTGTCTCACCTTAAAGTAAAAAAGAAGCAGCAGCAGAAAAGGTTCAGGCAGGTGCAATGGCTGGTGTTGAGCACAGAAAGCCTGCTGCCTAAGGAGAGATCAAAAAGACTTGGATCTTCAGCTTGGACAAGAGACAGCCAAGGAGAAGTATGAGGGATAAAATCACGTTGTCAATATTTCTAAAGACAGATGAAGTTCTAAGGGGTGTAGAGGAAACAATCTGCCATCATATCTCAGAACTGCTTTTCCTATTGGAAAAAATGGGGGACATATAGCAAGTGTCTTACAAGTTTTCAAGACAAAGCAGACCTTTACCACAAAGCATATAATTAAATTGTGGGACTCTGTGCTGTGGGACTTTTTAGATGCCAAGACTATAAATGGGTTAAAAACAACACTTAAAAGAATTAACAGAAATCCATGGGCAAGAATCAAACCCACAGACAGACACACCCTCCATCTCAAGAGATCTCCAAACTGCAGATTGCTATAAATTAGGAGGTATATGAAAGCTCACCATGCATGTGGGCTGTTCATGTACTTTTTTACATGCACCCACTACAGTTCTTAGATTAGAGGGACCCAGCGGACCTTCCACCTGACCCAGAGTCAGCATAAAGCATAGTACCACTTTTTTAAAGTAAGTATCTTGCGAAACCATATAAAATCCATTTGTCCACCTAGGATTTCCTTAGTCACACTGCTCCTTCTTGTCCTTTGAGACAGGCAGAGGATTATCTAATATGTTGTAATTAAATCAGAAATGCACAGTTTCTGTTGTCAAGACATGAGTCACTTTTTCATGCACAGATCCGATTCCAGTGACGCAGTTGCAAAGGCATCTTTTCAAACTCTTTACCGTTGGATTGAATTTTTTTCTGAGCTAAGCTGTCAGCAAAAACTGCTGAGCAGTGAGTGGCAATCAATTCAGCCTTGTCTCTCAACAAGTTAAGAGTTTTGACATAGTGCTGTTCTCACATAGAGGCTTGCTTATGAAAATGACATTTAAATGCTTTTTTTAAAAGCATACTTTTATAAAATCATCCACTTTTAGAAAGAAAATGTCTAAAGAAGTAGGCTGTTTGCCTCAGCACCTCTTGAAATTTCAGTACTATTGCCGTGCATGCACTTGAGAAGATGCATTTCTTCAGTTTGACTTGACATTTTTCACTCCCTAATGTAGAAAGCAGTGTGAGCCAGGACTTGCCAGGAAATGTCTACTGGTACATGGCACACCATCTCAGTGAAGTATTAGCTGTTCAGCAACTGGTTGCTTATCCCTTGTGTTACTTGAACAACAAGGATTATGAACTATTCAGCTACAGTATGAAATGGATAAATATAATACATTTCCCAGATCTTATAAAAGTTAAAACAGTGGGTAGAGAATAAAGGGTTTACATTATGCAAAAGAAAAAACTGGGATCAGTATGAAGCAAACATTTCCTAACAAAGAAGCCTATTAAACAGCTAAAAAGTCCCTTGTGGGAAGAAGTGGAGGCCTCATCACTTGACATATTTAAAAACAGACTAGACAAAGCATTCATCTCTACAGGGACAGAGGAAATGGATAAAATTACTTATTAGGCTTTTTTCTACCCATCTCTGATTTCTATGATTTAATACATCTTTTAAAATGCAAACCACATTACACAAGCAAAAGGCTGAAAAACAATAAAACAGTTTTTAATTGTACTGTTGCCCAGCACAATGAAACTTGATTTAAAATTAAATTTATGCTAGCAATTCAGACTGCAAGATGACTTCTCTTTGTTTAAGGTCTAGCACTGAAAGCTTTGCTACTGGCACACATGCCTCTAAAAAGATGATTTAGCATCCCCAGACTGGGGATATGTTCTTTGTGCCAGAACTCTTTATAAACTGTGACGGTTCAACTTTTGACAAGGGTAGCTGATGCAAAAGGCAGAATGGTGCTTTAGAGAAAAGCAGTGGAATACGGGGTTTGTGCCTAAGGTCTGGCAGACTTATAAACTCCCTCAGGAATCTCCAGCACTAAATATTTACTGATGTCACTCAAAGCATGACATCTAATCTGCTATCATGAAAATAAAAATAGACTCTCAGAACAGTTTCTTTCTATCACTTTGAATATATTAAAATTATTTCAAAATTTTCAGGGTTTTTTTCCCACTTTTTTTTCTTTTTTTAATCCTTGAAGGCACTGCTCTATTTAAAATAAAGTATACCATCTTGTTCTGTAGAAATATGAAGAAATATGGAAAAAACCAACCCTGACAAACCTAAGGATAGTCAAAATGACCCTGTTTAAGAGCGTAACACTGTGGACCTTTCACTCCACCCACCATCCACACAGGAAGATGAAATCATGATGTAGAACTCCTGAAGAAGAAATCACAATGCACAGCTGAAGTGAACTGTCCCAGAGATAACGCTGGGGTGGGTGTTGAATCATAGCGGTCCTCAGGCCTCTCACTATTTTTGAACCAGCCAAGAAAAGGCAAGATGTGGCCACATGTTTTCCTTGCCTTGACATCAAAACTATTTTAACAACATGCTGCCATTTCCCCTCTGCAGCCTGTTCACTCTTGCATCCTGGCTGCAATTTACCATCTTTTCAGTATTAGTCTTGTTGTGCTAGACTGGGTTGCAAACTCAGTGTAGTAGAAAATATTACTTCATTTCAAAATACTGTTTACCCACAGTTCAATGTAGTCTTGTCCCAGAAGAGGGGGCAGAAAAGTAAGGGGAACAGTTAATTTAATCTATCCCTAGAACCAGCTAGAATTAAGAAAAACAGTGGTCCAGTACCTGAATGACAAGGACCTCCCTCAGAAATATCATCCACCTTCCTGTGAACCTCCTCCATTCCTTTTCCTCTGGTTGAAGTGATGTGTGGTCATTTAGCTGGAAAGTTGTGTTTTCCTGTACTGTGCTTATCTGTTTGGCTGTGGGCTGCCAGACTTATCTGTACCTTCAGGTAATAAAGTCTGTTCAGAACAGTGTCTATCTGTGGATATATTGTAAAATGTTGGCAACTCTGAAGTTTGCAGATGGTGTTATCAGGACAAGCATTTGCCTATTTTAAACAACTTCCTCATGAGGGGAAGAGGAGGGGCAGATACTGGTCTCTTCTCTGTGGTGAACAGTGACAGAACCTGAGGAAATGGCCTGAAGTTGTGGCAGGGAAGGTTTAGGTTAGATGTTAGAAAAGTTTTTCACCCAGAGGGCCCTGAACAGGCTCCCCAGGGAAGTGGTCACAGCACCAAGCCTGACAGAATTCAAGAAACATTTGGATGATACACTCAGGCACATGCCATGACTCTTGGGGATGGTCCTGTGCAGGGATAGGAGTTGGACTTGTTGATCCTTGTGGGTCCTTTCCAACCCATCATATTCTGTGAATCTGTGATTCTGTGAAGTGTTTTATATTAGCATGTAGAGTTTTGTGGGCATATAATTGATACAGTAGGACAAACTCCCAATGCAGCTAAATCAAATCAGCCCTTATTTTGGGAGTATGCCCAAATCTAAGTATGTCTTTAAATTAGAATAAAGTTCAATACTTTGCCATTTGGAAAGTAAAAACACTCAACTGTAATTTTAATTACCAAATGAATTTTAAACTCCAGAAGAGTCAGTTTGAAAAACAATAAACTGTTTGCAGCAGCTGTACCCCAAAATCCTTATTTAAAACACAGCCCCTTTGTCCAGGCATAGACCCATCTCTGCTTTGCACAGTTTCTCAGCCACAGCACAACCCCAGTCCCGCATCCTATTTAATTGTTCTTTAGGCTCTTGGGCTCAGGCCACACTGGCAGAGCTTCATCCCTCACTGAGTCTCGCTCAGAGGATGGTCCAGCTCAGAACATCCTTCCTATGTTGTGTCCAGCAGCTGCTACTGCATCATCCTGCCCCAGCCTTCAGGGGATATCACTATATCACACTGTAAATGAGCAGCTGGTGAGGATGCAGTCTGCCTCCATAGGATAAGCAGGAATTAAAAAAAAAAAATCTCATTTGGACAAAATTAATCCTGTAGTAATGAATTTATAATACTTTTTACCTGGTTGAGTCATATGTCTGGTCATAGCAGGAATAAATCCCACTGAAAGGGAATTGCCTGGGTGTGCAGGCAGTATTTTACAACCACAGGAGCCATTACTTTCCAGGAAGAGAAAAACAGTCAGAGAAAGAGAAGGAAAAGCAGGCAGCCAAGTATGCCAGACTTGATTTTAGCCCCATTTACATTGATTTCATCAGTTATTCCACTGCAGAGGACACAAGAGTTTTCAGTTCTAACTCTTAAGGATGGTAGAGAATAAAAGTAAGAGAAGAGTAATATCTGAAGTTCCTCTAGTCTCACAGCAAATATCTTCTCCACAAATAATTGAGATTTACCTCCCAGCAATTCTTAATGGCCATACTGTAAGTCATATAGGTATTTTACGACACCAAAGCTGTAATAAAGTGCTCTGGGTGAGCAGCAGAATAGCTATACAATCAGTATGTTTTTGCACGCTTGGATTTTTGATTGGGTTAGTATTGCAGCACAGCCTAAAACAGCAGTATAAATTTAATGGGCTGGCAGTCTTAAAAGTAGGGAAGTATAATAACAGGTGTATTTATTTTTGCTGTGATATGTAACTGATACCACTGCGTCAGCCTAATCTTGCTGAGATTAGGCTCTCTTTTGAAACAGAAAAGAAAATACCTGGTACTGGACCTAAGATAAACTTAGTCAGATGAAAATCAAAAGGAAAAGACAACAGGTAGCACTGTAGAACATGTTGTGCAAAGGTAATACATATATATCACATATTTGCAAAACCTACTTCCTCTATCAGTCAGCCCTTTATTAGAGACACTGTATTCAGACAAATTGAACAAATCCTAAAACATGTAAATCCCTAACACTACAAATACATCTTTTCCCAAAGTTATGAAGTACTATAAAACCACATAGGTTTCTTTTTTTCTTGCTTTTTGACATGATTGTTGTTGGATACTTAAAATTTATGAGTTCATAGATGAGTCAAACCTTGCACTATACCAGAAATGGAGATGATACCTCTTCTAACTACATGTGCTTTACCACAGACGTTAAAAACAATTACTTAGGAATAGTTATTTCTAGGAATTCTGAAAATATTTTAGTTATAATTATTGTCATTACAGAAAAGTCTGAAACATTTCCTTTAATCATTCAATACACAGCTCCATAACCCCAAACACTTGAAAACTATAACTTTGCTATGTTTTCTTCTTACATATGTGCCTATATGTACATACACACACATATATACGCACTATTAGAAACTGAGTGTCGAGAAAAGCAGAACCTTTACATTTTCTTATTTTTCTCTATGTTTGCAATAGGAATATAACTGTAGATACCACTTTTGCCATCTACAAAAATTGGACCAGCTTAATTTCAGATCCTCTTGACAGACACAACAACCACTTAGGCTCTGCTTTTCCCACTGTCATTTTTCATTCTTACCAAAGTCTGTTAGCTCTAAGAGTATATTGTTGGGTCATACATTCAGTTTTCATGCAACAAACCCATCTCCCTTTTACACTGCCCCGAAATTACTAAATCTTGTGCCTAAAACCAGCCTTGCACTGCTCAACTCCGTTTCAGCTTTTACTCTGCTGTGCACAGGAAAACCAGTTTGCAGTTGTGGCATTGACTAGACCTAGTTATACACATAAACATTAAATATTACTTATTTTTGTGCTCTTCCAGTAGTTCAAAAAGTAGCCTAAACCATGCAACATATAAGCACGTCTTACAGGGCCTGGGTCTATTTGCGGAATGATAAATTATCAGTAATTCCTCTGAGCCCCACTAATCAAGGCATTCTAATTGCCACATCTAGAATGCCATCAACTGACAATGGTGACAGAGGGAGTTCAGAATATTAAACATTTTGAAGAACTATGCCTTAAACTGAAACCTTCCTAAAGTCATAGTATCTCCTCAAATTGCTCATTCTGTGAACTCAGAAAGAGAAAAAAAATGAACAAAAAACCAGTTAATCATTTCAGAACTTTTTTCCAATTTGTATTAGTGATTAAAGATCCATTTCCTAATGGTTGGGAATAAAAGTCTATCTTGAGAGCTGAAGTCACATAAGTCAAATTCTCCAGCATAACTACCACAGAGTACCTGTGCATGAGGTTGTTCATTTGTTAGGAGGACTAGTGGCTTGGAAATGTGGGGTGGTTGTGGAAATGCTGGAAGGGAGGGTAAGCACAACAGAACATATCTAGAGAAGTCTGCAGAGCTCTGAACTCTCAAAGGGAAGCCCTAAGGTGTATGTACACTGAAATAAGTGCACCTGGAGAACAGCAAATATGTGGCTGGGTCCCCGGAAGTACTCACTAGCAGGAATATTTCACAGTGAGCTGCAACTGTGTGATAAGAAAAATAGGCTTCCTTTTGGGGAAAGTGTTCTGGAGACATGTTTTTAGATGGTAAAAAAAGATTCCTCATTTTGCAAAATATGGCGAGACTATAACCATTGGCCTCCTACATGTATTTTTGCTGTAACGAGAACTTAAAAAAGCAATGGTAGCTTGTCTTATTCTTCATTTAATATTAACTAACAAAGTGATTTAATTTGTTTTAAGCAAAAATGGATGATAAACAACAGATATTCCAAAGCATGAGATGCTTTGGGTGAAGACATGCGGTACTTGGACCTGGAAGGTGCCTGTTACATTAATTTCTTTTAGGTGGATCCTGCAGCCTGGACTGACTTGATGAAGCCAACAGAAAGCAAAGGGCTACTCATTTGAACAGTGGCAGCAGTAGGTGGCACCAAGTTTGGCAATTTTGCTTTATCCCTTCCTAAAACTTGGCCTTTGAAAATCAACATGTAAATTTTATTTCCAATTTTTAGCTCAAAAAAAAGCTCTGGGTAGGGGGAATCAAATTCAGTAGGGGAAAAAAAAGGACCATATAACTAGGGCTACTGCTTCCATTTAGTGGGATGGACAACAATAAGAATAAATAAGAATACAAAGACAGGATAAATCAACTATGCTGCACATCTGGTAACACATCTTATTTTACTATATTTGTTATCAAGATGACATGCAGTCTAGAACTTCATGGCAAACACACTGGCAAAAGCCATAAATCATGAGAATAACAAGGCTCGAAGGAACAAGGCTTACAAAGACAACCCCAAGGGTAACTTTCTTAGATACCAGTAAATAAATCCCTAAAGGCAAGGAACTAAAGTACAGCAAACCTAGCAACCACACTAGCACCCGAATTGAGGTCTGGAAGAGCAAGGATGTGCAGTTCCACACTGTCCAGTTGTGGGACACGGTTGCAACAGAGTCAAAACTTGTAGGCCTGTAAAATTCCACCACGGGGGTTGAGTTCAGAGTCTGGGGACTTTCTCTTTGTACTTCCATGATTGTTATAACCAGGCAATTAGAAGAGGTGTGAGAAGGGCTAACTAGAGATGCCAGCCTTTTGGGAGTCAGCAACAGTTCCGTTGGGTTGTCTGGTAGGCACTTCTTTCCCTTTCCCCCGCAAGCTAAATTTAGAAGGATATTGTTGTCATCAGGAAGACTACTAACCTCATCATCTGGCAGGCATGTTTCAAACCTGCAAAATGGGCACACTATGACTCCTTGTGGGGAATCACCAAAGTCTATGATCTTGCAAAGGCATTTGGCACATACTCTGTGACAACACTCCAGCACTTTTGGTTTTCTCTGTCGCAAGTTATAGCGGTTGTAACATATCTTGCACTCAAGCTCATCTGAGCTCTGGGTCTCCAGGGACTCCTCTGGTAGCTGAGTGGTCATTTCTTCAGATGGTTTTTAGACTTGCAGAAAGAGAAGTCAAGGGATGAAGAGGTCAGTCAGTCTTGTCTTAGAACTTTTTCCTATCACACATCTCAAACAGGAAAAAAGGAGATGACATCATCGAAAAGCATCAGTAGGCATCATCCATTTTCAACTTCTGCTAGAGACTGTGCACTGCATGTCCTTTACTCTGAGCCAGGCACCCATCTGAAAAAAACAAAGTGGAATTTTTGGGGAAGGCAAAGGAAAAAGCAGGAAAGGAAAAGGGAAGGGGAAAGGAAAAGGGAAAGGGAGAAAGAGAGGGAGAAGGCAAGGGAGAGGGAGAGGTAAAGGGACAGCTTTAGCAGGTGAAATATACAAGTTTTACTTTTTACAAGATCAGCTTTCTTTGCTAAAAGTACCTCTAAGGTAGTTTTTTCCTGTGGCATATGGGGCCTATATAACAGTCATGCTGATAAAATGGCATCATGCTGCACAGATTTGTTTTAGACTTGTAGCTCTGACTGGCTCAGCCCATGAATTTCTCAGCAGAAGATGCAATCTGATCACTGACCTGTGACAGTTTGTTTAAATTCTGGTTTCCTAAGGAAATGAGACCCGACTCCTGGAGCTTTTGGTCTTTCCTGGTAACTTGTGAACCCGCTGACCAATTTCAAACAAATCAGCAGAGGGGCCACAGTACTGAAGATAATTAAGTTTCTGAAAGGAAATGAACACTGGCAATTGGGTAGAGGAGAGATATTTATGATATCTACCATTTTATCCTGGGGGGTAATGGCCAGCCAGCAAACCCCTCTCTCTGCTCTGAACGGGCAACATGCTGTCTGTTGCTAAGCCAGAGAGGAGTACAACCCAGGGGGAAACTGGTGATATTCTGGGGAAATAAAGAGTTTGTGGGAGTGGAGTAGGTATGAAAGAGGGCTGGGGTTATTGCAAAGAATTATGTGGGGATCTAGGTACAATTTGGAAAAGATCAGGCTTTATTAATTTTTCTGCTTGTGGAACAGCTCATTTTCTCCACCCAGCTGTGGGGCACATGATTACAAAAATGAGTGTTCTTTAGCTTGCAACAATTGTCTCCTTGGATATGTGGCTGCTAGGGTGAAAGCTAACGTGTCTCTCAAGGGCATTTGCCAGATGCACTGGTTTTCAAGTGTTTCATGACTGTGACAGCTGTTTCACACCTCAGCTGAGGAGAGGTCTGTGGCACGCTTGCGGTGCTGCATGCCCACTCTGCGCAGCAGTTTTGCTACCAGACCCATCAGCTGCCCTTAAACAAATGTCATATTTTGTAATCATGCATTTTCATGACTTCAGGAAACAGTCTTTGTATTATAAACAAGAAATTAATCAGGACTATATACTCTGGAGATCAAAAGTCACCAGCATTTAAAAAAGCAGCTCTATCTGACAGAAGACAAAAACTTGCTCGAGATTCAGGCATATCACAGCATTGCATTTTGCATGCTTTCAAACTCATGTCTTCAGTGCTAGAGTAGCAGGGAACTTGCCACAGTCAAATGATGGGGTCAGCACTTGTGTCTGGCTGCCTTTTGCATTATCAATAAATATCACACACACTGAATATGAAAAAAGTGGCCTCTTTCAATAAACTTATTTCTTGACTACGCATTTCAGTAAATGTCTGATTCCTTTACCTTTTCCTAGGGAAGTTTTTACTCACTCCTAGCATTCAGATCTTTGTCCTTTTTTTTTTTTTGAGGTCAATGCAGGAAGCAATTCTTTTAAGCAATGTTATCCTTCCATCAATACATTTTACCTGCCAACCATCAGGTACAGTAAAGTCTCTTTCATGGGCCTCTTCTTCTTACTGTGCTTTAAGTATTTTCTGTTCTCTCTCTTAACTTTCTGTAAATCCATCAGAGGATGGAAAGACATAACAGAGAAGGATATATAACTTCTATAAGCAACATAATTTCTAAAACTCATCTCCTGGATTTTAAAACAAAGATGTAAACATCAGACAATCCAGTAACAAAAAACCCATGACAACATAGTGAACAAACCCCACATATTTCTGTAAGAATTGTTAGAGACATGGCCCCCTCCCCATTCAATTATCTCAATAACTCTTTCCCTGCCTCTTCCAACTTATTTCTTTAGTGGCCTAAATGTTTTCATCTCTGTCTGACTGTTGTTTTTATTATTTGTACTGTGACTACATTTGTGGTGTGTTCCATTAGGCAAGGCAAACACAAGACCAACCATCCACAGTTTTCAAAGTGTACAAGCTAAACATCATCTAAGACACCAAAAGAACATCTTCTACAGAACTTATAACCTATCCTTTATCCTTTGTTACACTGCATGCTTCCCTATTAATTTCTACTCCTCTTTTTATTTCATTCCAAATATCATCTTCTAGATGACTTTTAAGTAGATATAAATGTCATGAGATGCTAACTTTCCAAAGGATAAAGAAACCACAAAATGGACCAAAAAAAGTGAAATGCCAGCCTACAGGAAGGCAAAGCACTGCTGAAAAATTAAGAAGCTAAACAAAAAAGCAGTTGTTTTTAACTTTTACCTCTTGAATATCATTTGTCTTCTATACCTGAGGTGAATTAGGATTATTAACAAGCTAAGGCTGGCAAACATTGTCCTATGATATAAGACTAGATTCATGATAAACCAAAAATCTTCCAGAAAATGTGTCTGCTTCTTATCGAAAATTATGACCTTTCTCTGAAAACTCCCAACTTGAAAAATCTTTGTATTTTAGTGTTTATCTTTCTAATTAGTATGACCAGCTTTTCACAAAAACCAGCCTGCTTTCCAACCAATTCTATTTGGACATGGATCACTTCCCTCTGAATCAGCTTTCAAACTGAATGTGTTTTCCTATATGGCTGCTATAAGTGCCAACATTTAGCATTAAAACAAGGAATAGCAAGTCCCTGGGACTAGCAATGCCCCAGGTGCTAAACTGGGATTATTAGCTCCATGTCCAGAGCACAATGATCCTCCTATTGTAGTTTCTGTCATGAAATAGTCTACAAATTATTTTCAGACTTTTTTTCTTTAATGTTCTGTACCAGATGCTTCACAGAGTCTCTACAAAACATATCCATCAGTAATAAAACATCATTGATTATTTTTTCTTTGGCTAACTTTAGATGTTGGATTTCTCCTTATGTGTCCTAGTGTGAACACTGCTTACTACTATGGGTTATTTAAAAGTCTTTTCCTTTGAAAATTAAAATTCAATCACCAGTTCTTATTAATGCTCTTCATACATTTTTTACCTTCTCAGCTCTGTGGTGGTTTTAGATGCTTCCTCTGACTTTTTTGCTTTTCTGATTTCTTACAGAATTTTTTTATTTTTCCTTCTCAACACCCACTTTCCTGCTCTCTTTTTTTTTCTCTGCTGGGAACTGACACCTTTTCGAATTTAAATAATGCTGCCCTTCTGTTAAATACACCACATACCCTAAAAAGTTCTCTGATCAGAGACTTATTCAAAATATAAGGAAACTGAGGATTTTATAGAAATCTGACTTCAAATTATCCTTATTTCTTGAGGAAATGAAATGTTTCTTGAGAAATATGGCCAGCTGTGTCTTCAAGCAAATTCTACTCTATGTGAAAGATTTTCTAGCTTTTCTTTTGCATGCCTCCCAGGTGGGTATTCACTGGAAGCAGGCAGAATAAGAAATTAAAGAATGCAATAGCTTAACTGCTGCCCCTCTGAATCCTGTTCCCTCACCAAAAAGGTGACAATTCACATACTTCTCCTTGCTGTGTGTTGAAAGCAATACTACACAGAAAAAAAAGTGATTGTGTCTATATGTTCATGTTTTGTCCTCCTCTTTGGGACATGTTTTTTATGATGCCTTGAGAAGGTATGTCCCTATTACATGCTCCAATACTCCACTAATATTTGGGCTATTTTAAAATACTGGACTACAACTTGCATGTAGTTGCAACTTCTTTCTGACCTTGACATCCAGGGGGCAGTGAAGTAAAAAGTCCTGAGTGCAAGTCCTATGATGAGCCTAACCTCTTTCTCTTCAACTAAAAAATTGCTAGTGATTGGAGGTCAAAGTGAGGTCCCATGTCTATTTTGAAAGCACTGAGTTTATTTTTATTAATTCTGTCGTTAGTTTAAATCACTCCTTATGTCCAGTTTTCCACTTGAACTTATTTTAGATAGACTTATCTCACCTGCCAACAGACACAGGTTGTAGCCAGGAAAACTTCAATTAGAGACTAGAAAAAAAAATATTTCACAAGGTGTTCAAACACTGGAACAGGTGTCAAGATAGGTAGAAATGAAATCTTCAGCCTTACAGATATTGAAAACTTCAGTGGATACAACCCTGGTCAGGCCAGTCTACCTTGGAATTTCGCCCTGTTGTGAGCAAAGGAAACAGGATTTTTGCAGAGATTCCTTCTAACCCAAATTATTCTATGATTTACTGCTTTGGTATCCTGAAGTCACTCTATGTGATCTGTTTGAGAAGCTTTGTCCCTTACTGAGTAAGGAATCAGGCTGACATTTGCCTGTATAGCTAAACACTGCTCCTAGATACTAGTTCTTTCATTTAATATATGAATTCATTTTTACAAGCAAACCTAGAGACCTTTTCATATTTTGTCTTCCACAGAACCTATCTGATGAGATCAACGCAATCCAATTGCAGAACTTCTCATTCCCGTGTCTAATATGTAGCACATAGCAGCTTTCTGAACAAAAGATTAACTACTAGACACGTACAATGATGACAGCATCCACTGCAGTTAATTCAAGAACAAGCACATCTGTTACACTATGACAAGCACTTGTCTTTTGTAAGAGTCCTGAGTAAGCACTGCAGGAGTGAATCCATCATTCCCATTGCTGCTTAAGCTGTGACTCCCTCTCTTCCCCTTCCCGTACCTTACAAACTTCTCTACCTGAACATTTTACTAAAAAGGTAAAAAAGCTGAAGCCAGAGAGGCATCTTCTGGATGGCAGAAGATCACCAGCAGTCCTCACAGTGCTCCAGTTGACTGCTGGAGGGCTGTCCCAGAAGCAGGGGGAATATCCTCCCTTGAGAGCAAGAGGAGGCGACCCACAGGACGAGACAGAATAAATAATAGCAAGTTCTTATGTGTGGTCCCAGGTATGGCCAGACAGAGTGCACAGGACTACATCAGCCCAAACAGGCCACTGGCCATTGATCAGTTTTCTACAAATTACTGCTCTGCAACTGCAGGCTTTCTTCCCAGGCATGGAAAGAAAGGTGAATGGCCTCTGCAACATGTTATGGCTCTTCTTTGCACTCATCTATCAAACACTGTGTAGACAAAGTGTTCATGAGAGACCAGAAGCAATTACTTGTAGATGAAACTCTCAATATTGGAGCTCAGTCATTCTGACAGGGCAAAGTAAATGGGAAATTTGTGCTTCTGCTCCCTAATGAGACATCATCTTTGCCTAGTTCATCAGACCAACCTTTTATCATACATTTCTTGCAGTATTTTTTTTTCAGGGAATTTGCCAAAATTTCACATATAACCTAAAATGAATATATGAGGTCAGCAAGGAACTTCCATAAGATATCATCCATGGAGCCAACCAACATGCAGCATTTTCAAAGGTTTTAAAAGCTTCCTCTACATGCAAACCAAGCATATTTAGGAAATATGAGAAGGGAAGTAGAGAGAAAAATAGATACAGAGAAACTTACTTTCCAAGAAAAACAACTTCTTCCTAAGGTTCACTTGAGAGCACACAAGAAAAGCCTATTCTTCTCCACATGGGCAAGAACTAGTGAAAACGAGGGAAACAAAATTAGTAGAGCAGGAATACAGCTGGGAGATTTTTCAGTCTGTTTTCTCTGAAAGAGAGGAAGTAGTCCAACTTCTCTAGTTTGGATAGAAATACCCATATGTTAAGATTTTCATTTAGAGAAATATACTGGGTAAATCCCATTTACTAAAATTATTTCTGTAACATAATCCAGTTATCTTTATAGATCTGTTGTTGATTTTAAGCTTCTTTCAATATTATGTGCTAAACACTCTGAAGTGCTATCTCTTCTAGCAACCACATATTCACAAATGCTAGCAATTCACTAAAAAAAAAACACCAAAGGCAAGGCAACCAAAGAGATAAACTGTGCTTCGAAAGAAGAGTTGTAAAAACATATCAAAATACTTTCCTTCACAAGTGTCATAGAAGATCTTTGATCACTTCTACTTTTCCAAACAAGCTGCAATCTCTTCTCCAACACAGTCCAGAAAGGAGCCATCTCCTGTAGGCCACTGCATTCACATTTGAGCAGCTTTGCTGCATTCTGACTCAGCAGGAAATGACCATCGCACCAGATTTTTCCAGCTTGTGTTAAGCACAATGCAAAAAAACCCACCCCAAACTGCTTTACTAATCTGACATTTGAATAGACTACATTCAAAGTGCCAGCAGCTATCACATGTTCAACCTGTTTCATGCCACATTTCTGCTAACAGTGGATGGGTTTTAACAATGGGCATTTCCCTGTCAACTCCAATCAATGCGAGACTTTGCACCAGAGCTACAGAATGTGACATACTGATCCATGCTCAGTTTATGGTCAGCTGTATAAACTGCTATGAAAAATACCTTCATTCTTTTCACAAAAACTTAGTTTTCAATGGCATAGGTAATGAGGTTGTTCCTCCAATAACTACGCGCGAAAGAGAAACTCTGCAACACATACAGCAAAAAGTTGTGTATTATTGACTGCTTCACAAGACACTAATACAAAACAGAAGCATTTTTATCAGAAGTTATTGTGACAATATTTAGAGTCCTTTCTTGATCTCTCTCAATCCTCTACAATAATGTCACAAAACTTCAAAATACAGAAAATTATAGTTTTTCATATTTGAAGTGGAATTCATGGGTCTCTATTCATTTAGTTCAGAAGTCATGTAATATTAATGTGTCATCTCATACTAAAAAAAAAAACCCAAAACAGTCAAATTATTTTTTTTTACTATTAAGTAAGCAGGGAGATTTTCATCTAACGCAGAGTTCACTTAATTCACAATAGTGACATTGGCTCTTAGGGTACTTTCTACATCCTTTGCATGTGCACATTCAATATTACCAGATCCCATTTCTTTTTAACAGTATAATTTGCAATACTTTTCCATTATTCCACTAACTCACATTATGTGTCAGGTAGTAGTAGAAAATGGTATGAATAAGCATTGAGTGCCTTATTGAAATCCTACTATTCTCAATTACTCACTTTCTAGCTACGGGCTACTACAGCATTGATATGAATCTTAAAACTGACTATGGTGTAGAAAATAATGTTTTATTATTTAGGCTTGTAGGCAAAAGCAAACCCTCTTCCAATATTTCTTAAGAAGAAACTCTCCTTCATATAGAATTCATGAGCTATTTATATAGCAATATGCCGAATGACTTCTTAATGTGACATACGGTTGTGGGCTGCTTTGCAGCTGTTTTAAGAATAAAACTAATAAAGGACAAAGGATCTGAGCTCTTATGAGTTGTCTTCGTTTAAACTGGCTTAATTAGATTACGTTGATAAGTAAAAGGAGGTGGCTCGAAATTTGTATCTAACACGGTAAGTTTTATTTTTGGAAATACACTAGTTAAAGAGAATTAATTCCTTTAAAGTTATTTTTAATTGTTTCACAACCTGCTTGCTTGAGCTGTTTTAGCATTTTCTCTTGTATGGTTTTCTCACTGCCAGTGGGTTTTCCTTTATGACTCTGACACCAATAAATGATCTACTCCAGTAAAAATATATTTCACGATAGAACTCATGACCTTACTATTATTGCAGGGAAAGGTTAGACATTCTCCTTTTTGGTAGCAGGGGTGGGTTTTGGCAGTTTTATCAAATAAGATAGAGTTCTGTTACTCTGCTCTAGTGGTTTTGCCCTTTAGAAGCTCTTCTGAGAATTGAACAGACTTTAGGACATGGATTCTAGAATATGACTTGAAAGATACAAAATTATAAATAAATAAAAAGCTTCCCAGTATTACTTAATACAGGCATAAATATTTAATTATATGACCTACAGATATGTCTAGCATTTTTCTTTATATTAGACATTATTAAAAGCCAATATGGCTTTGTATTAGGTTTCAGAACACATGATGATAGCACTGTAGAATTTTACATCCTTGCTTTGCTAGCTACTGTATGCTTGAATGTAAGTAACTAAAATAAGTCCAGAAATGCAAGCAAATAACTTTTACTTTTTTAATAAAAATTACTTGTGCTGGAAGACATGAAGTGACATACTCAAAAGGTAAGATCCCCAAAATATGACAGAATTCCTTTCTTTGGACATATTTGCTATGTTATATAATTTGGGAGGGAGCAGGTGAGACAAAATTACAGAAAATTAAACTTGATTACATCACCCAGGGAGAAATTCCTCTTCACACATGGGAATCATTTTAATGCATTATAAGTAAGTTCCAATTAACCTTCAAAATAAGACTTAAATAGAAAGTAAGTGTGGCATTAGCTTTGTTCTAATGAAGCTGAAAACAATCTCAGAACAGACTAGAAATGAAGGTGTACTGCTTGCTTTTTCTATTGTCAATAAGAACAATCCATCTAATACAAGTATGTTTAACTCGGTTCATTCTGTTTCGGACATTTTTGAGGATATGAGTATACATAAAGATTTTACTATATTGCCTATTTTATCTCAATAGATTAGTGCAAACAGGAAATAAAAAGGGTAGGGCATTATACAGGGCAGTACTTCTACTGAATTTTATGTATTCTTTACATATATTTGGTAACCAGGTTTTCTCATTTAACTACTGCTCAGATATTTGCATGTTATCCTGTGCAGAAAGGAAACGGTAAAAAACAACTGCAGTTACTTCAGTCACAGAATGTTTGAAAACTGAATGTCAAAATATTCCAAATCCAATACAGATTTCCACTTACAAACAACTTTTCCAGACCTGGTCTTCCAACATCATGTCCTTTTTGAAATGCTGGTAAGCAAAATCCAATCTAGCTGATGTTGCAGAAAGTACTAATATCTTGAAAAGTAAGGGTCTGAAGAAACAACACTTTAACCTGGATGCAGTAAACTGTTCACTTAAAGCACACATCTAAAAATAGTTATTACTGGGATAAAAATTATTTTTATTTTAGCAATATAGCAATAGTTGACATATAATCCCTCCTAACTTGACATTATTGTATCTATTATTATAATAACATCATTATAATCACTAGAGTATCAATGATGTAACTAAGAAAAAATTTTCAAAAAATCTTATTGATGTATTTTAAAAAAAAGGTAAACACAAAACCCTGAGATGCCATAAAAATACAATAGATCTTGCAGTAAAGTTGTATGTCTTCAACTGCCTTCATGAGAAATGAATGATCCCAATGGACAAGTGTCAGTGAGGAGGCATTTACTTTGACAGTCACATATACTGCCCTCTTAGAAAGTATTCGTGAGAAAAAGTCCATTTGGCCTGATTTATACACCATATGCAATGAATAGTCACTGTATGCACACCCATCATTCTAGATGCAGGTACGCGAAATAAAATTGCATGCATTTAAAAAGTGGATGGAAGCAATTAAATTAATTGGTGTCAAATGATACACACAGCTTTTATTCTATTCCTTTAAGGAATACAGGATCATATCAAACAAGAGTAGCTTTAAGTATTACTCTGGAAGCATCTTTGTAGCTACTGGGGTTGATCCAGGACTGTCAGAGCTCCATAAATTGCTACATAACCAATCTCAGAATCACCAGAGTGTTCTGCTGGTGAGACTTGCTTACTGAGATTAATGCTTGTAAAGGACATAAACTTCAGAGGGATTGATATGAATTGTTCTGCTTTTAACATGTTATTTAGCAGTGCAATGTGGTACTTTTTAACCCATTCTCTGAACTCTCAGAGAGAGCTGAAGTGCTACTGGATGGAATACTTCAAGTAAAGGACAGAATCCTTATGGGCTGAGACTCTACATACAGCAATAATATAGAGACTACACTCTGTAAGCAGACACTTCGGTATGACTGCTTTCCCAAGAGAGATCCTCTCCATTGGTAGTCTCAATGTCTCCTTGAGAGTTAGTTTTGGAGAGTTAGCTTTGAAGGGTTAGCCCTCACCAGACCTCAGATTTTGGGTCACATTTTATTCAGTGGACAAAAGAAAAATCACCTCCACTTACTGTGTGTATGTCATTCCTAAAGCACATAGGAATCTGTGAGGATGAGCTGAAATATGATATCCTCTGGGTGTTTCTGAAGGCATCATGGTCACCAGGGTCACCCTGAGACTTGTGGGTAGGGTCTCCTACTTCTGTGAGCACATTCAGGCCTGGAGTGCCCTTCGAATGGCATAAGAGGAGCAGAAAGATGCTGCAATTTATTCACAGCATGTATCAGAATCAGTTAATAATGCTGTGTACCTCCCTCACATGTGTTTCTGATAGAAATATACTGCCACTTACTGCCGTGGCAGCAAATCCAATCAGGTCTAAATCGTATCAATATGAACCTGCAAAAAATCGGAAAATCTGCAGTTAGAAAATGTGTTTCAGCAAGTGCTGCATAATTCTATCTTGGGACAAGGACAACCTGGACTTTATAAATTTCCCACCATCCTAAAGAGTTACACTGACCAAGTCTCACAAACTCAATGAAGGGTATGAAACTGTCTTTGCTTTAAAGAGCAGAGCTACAGCATTTTGATGCCATTTGTAACTAGAATGGTTGAAAGGTTAAACTAAATGAAAACGTTTGAAGTCT